CAAGCCCCATGACCGACAAAAACAAAAAGACTACTTGTTTTACCTTGCATACATATAATTTTATATCAAATCAGATATTTATAGCATACAAACTTTGAAATCAAGGTGTGCCTACAGGGAATGTTTGACACATGGAAAGTGTCCTGTCTACTTCAGTAAAGAAAGGGATGCCTCTCTCAGATGATGTCTTTCCTCAGGTGATACTTTATTTGTCGTAGAGATAATAAAATATTTCATTAGCTTCTTATAAGAAAACCTGCATGTCAGAACCCCATTTAAAATTGAGAGCAATGTATGGGATTTCACAGTATAACACCATTATGGGTGTTAACTTTTTCAGAGCTAAGCATATAAACAATTAGTGTGGGTTATTTTTTAAGCCACAGTTTCAATTCTGCACTGTGACATGTTTTAAAGCTGAGTTGGTTCCTTTGGTAACATTATTAGATTACAAGTGCCAGAAAATAACTCGGATAGCTGCATTCACATACTTTTTTTGCCTAGAACAAAGAAATAAAAATGAACCAAGGATTTTTCCAGAAAAGATAAGAAAGATGTTTAAGAAGGCTATGACTCAATTCTTGGGTGTGTATGCTTTTCAACCTCCTAGGAATTTTAATAACAAAAAGCAAAATACGCTCCCCAATTGCAGTCTACTTCAAGGAATTGCTACTGTTCCCTTTTTGTCACCGTTGAAATCATTGTTGGGAATTATAATTTGAGAAAAAAAAATATTACCCAATAAGGATGTATGTAGATGGCTAAACGATTTTTACTAAATGTGATGTATAAACAGGGACCCTTATAAATTATCATATGCCAATAAAATATCCTAAGTGTTAAAAAAAATCATAGCATTAAGCTACTCAAGAGACTAAGATCTGAGGAATGTGATTCAAAGCCAGCCCAGGCAGAAAAGTGCCCTTGAGACTGATCTCCAGTTTAACCACTCAAAACACAGAAGTAGAGCGGTGGCTCAAAGTGATGGAGCAAAAAAGAGCTCAGGGACAGCACCCAGGTCCTGAGTGCAAGCCTCATGACTGACAACAACAACAACAACAACAAAAAAAAATATATATATATAAAGATTAAATGATTTCCACTGGATTTCTTATTTCTGTACGAGCAAAAGCTTCTTTACACTTGCTATTTGGAAATCATTAAGGATTTGTGAGGTATTATAATAATCAGGGCTAATTATGGTAATTCATTTAGTAGGATAGAATGATCAAGATCAATAATAGAGGAACATTCTCCTTTCTAAGCTAAAAAATACATAAGTAAGTGAAATTTCCAATTCTCCTATTGAAACATGTTTTGTTCAATAAATACATGCTTATACACATGCTGATATACAAGACCTGATTTAACATCTTCATTGTCAATCATTCCTTCAGTTTATTCTTTTTTGTATGTGTGTACAGGTTCTGGGGATTGAACCTGGGTGCTGTCTCTGTGCTTTGTGCTCAAGGCTATTGGTCTACCAATTAAGCCTCATCTCTGCATCTGGCTTTTTTTGGTGTGTTTGATTAGAGATAAGTCTCGGATTTTCCCATCTGGGCTGGCTTTGAACCACAATCCTCAGATCTCAGCTTCCTAAGTAGCTAGGATTATAGGTGTGAGCAATCAGCACCTAGCTTTGGCCTATTCTTTCTTAAGTTTTCTTTTTTTTAACTGTCTTTTGTAGATGTGTTTTAAAAAGTAAATTTATGCCAGTCATTCTTCCATGTTTGCCCAGCAGTATTAGTAGGAAGATATTGAAATCTAAAGACATTTTGGTAAAAAAATCTAAAGATATTTGAATGCCAATAGTTTCAATAAACAGACGGTTAGCATATCATGAGAGAAAACTGGAGACTGTAAGCGGCTACTTTTTTTTTTTTTTTTTGCCGGTCATGGGGACTGAACTCTGGGTCTGGGCGCTGTCCCTCAGCTCTTCAGCTCAAGGCTAGTGCTCTACCACTGGAGCCACAGCGCCACTTCCTGCTTTTTCTGTTTATGTGGTGCTGAGGATTCGAACCCAGGGCCTCATGCTTGCAAGGCATGCACTCTACTGCTGAGCTACCTTCCCAGCCCCAGGCTATTTCTTTTTTTTGGGGAGGGGGGGGTTCAGTCGTGGGCCTGGGCACTGTCCCTCAGCTCTTCAGCTCAAGGCTAGCACTCTACCACTTGAGCCACAACGCCACTTCCGGCTTTTTTTTCCTGCATATGTGGTGCTGAGGAATCAACTCCAGGGCCTCATGTATGCAAGGCAAGCGCTCTACCACTGAGCCACCTTCCCAGCCCTGTAAGCGGCTACTTTATAAGTAGTCTTAGAAATATTAGGTTATCAGTAGTGTTATGCAGTACAATTGAAGGAAGATATGCTCATTTCCACTTAGGCATGGATTGTGTGATATTAGTAAGTCTGACTTGTACATTAAGGTAAATCTTAATATAGGCCTAGGAATATACTTATCTCCACTTTGAAGACCAAACAGTACTGAGTCTCATGGAATCTACTGGTTTTTCAAGAATTCTGTCCAGGGTAGGACCTATTTTTTTTTTTTTTTAGTTACAACAGCTGGGCATCTTTCAGGGTTTTTCAACATGGAGTATGGTGCTCAGCTGGACATATGTGGGCACAGATTCCATTTTCCAGTGGTGGGTTGGGGTCAAGGTGGAGTACTTGTCATATGAACTTATCTTGAAGGGACTAAACTCATGGGCAACCCAGTGCTCAAAGTAAAATGATCATTTTGGATACTGTTATGTCACACCAAAAATTCACTACACACTGAAGACAAAAACTCATTCTGAGTCTTTAAAGATACTCAGATAGCAAATTTCCAAAGTTATTTACAATGCATTCCAGTAAGTTCCACTAAAGATTAACAAAGGCAATTTCTGCCCTTCCTTTTCCCATGCCATACTGATCCTCTGAGCTTAAGATAGCAACACTACAGTATTCAGATGTTAACAGAGACAAGGGCAGACATTGACTTGCTCTGAAATTCAGTCTATAAAGTTATATTTCACTGAAAAACTTAACAGGTCCTGAATTCAACTCTCAGCTAAGTTTTTAGAACAGGAAAAATTTTACACGTCTTTTCCTCTATTACCTCTTAAATTTTGCTACCTTGAAACATATTCAATGCTTCTTGAAGGGTTCTTTTTTATTTTTGGCTAGTCGTGGGTCTTGAACTCAGGCCTTGGCTCTGTCCCTGAGCTGCTTTTGCTCAAAGCTAGCACTGTATCACTTGAGCCACAGCACTACTTCTAGCTTGTTCTGTTTATGTAGTACTGAGAAATCAAACCCAGGACATCATGCATGCTAGGCAAGTACTCTACCACTAAGCCACATTCCAAGCCCAAGTGTTCCTATTTATAAAAGCTTTGATCAGTCATCTAAAATTAGGGAATCCTAGCTCAGATACACATCCTCCAAGATAGTCTGTGTAATAAAGTAGTTCTTTAAAAAATACATATTTTTGTGTTTGTGTGTTAGTTCTGGGTCTTGAACTCTGGGCCTGGGTGGGTGTAGTCCCTGAGCTCTTCAGCTCAAGGTGAGCACTCTACCACTTGAGCTACAGCACCACTTCCGGTTTTTTGGTGGTTAAGAGTCTCACTGAAGTTCCTGCTTGGGCTGGCTTTGAATTGTGATCCTCTAATCTCAGCCTCCTGAGTAGCTAGGATTACAGGTATGAGCCACTGGTACCTGGCTGTTATGTTTTGATCATTTATATTCCTATAGTGAGTTCCACACATACAGGGCATACTAACCAAATGTCATTGTGAAAGTATATTCTCAGAAAAAAAATAGGAGCATTAGAAACTAAGTGAATTCTCTGGATGGGATGGGAGTTTGTCTGTGAGTTCTTCTATTACTAACACATCTACCCAATAAAAAAGTTTGAACAACAAAAAAAAAAGAACAAGCAACAAAATTGTGCCCATATTAGACAAGCATCTGGACTTAACTTTCACTCAAACAGCTGCTCTGAAGATGGAGGGTACTAAAGAAAACATATACAGCTCAGAGGATGCCAATGAGAAATCCAGGCAGAAACATTACAGAGGTTGGGGGGAACAAAAACAAAAGTGGATCATTTTAGACACTAGTCAAGTTTCTGTTATATATAAGTAGCACAGGGAAATCATCCCAGAAGAAACAAGAAAAACAAGGAAAGCAAAGTAGTAGAGGAGGGGAGGGCTCTCTCAATACAGTGGGACTTCGGGAAAGGGAAAGGGAAGCTGTGCGTAAACATGTCAACAATAAAACTAAAGTGGGGTGCCGAAGGCTCATGCCTGGAATCCTAGCTACTCAGGAGGCTGAGATGTGAGGATCATGGTTTGTGTCCAGCCTAGGTGGGAAAGTCTGAAACTTTTTTATCTCCAAGTAACCACCAAAAAGCTGAAAGTGGAGTTGTGGCTCAGGTGGTAGAACATGAACCTTGAGCATAAAAACTCAGGGACAGTGTTGAGGCCCTGAGTTCAAGCCCCAGAAGTAGCGCATGCACACACACACACACCACAAAAATTCTACTAGATTTAAGCAACACACTTATAACGACAAAAAGGAAATGCTGTCTGTTTTTTTTCTGGGAATTAAGGCAAGAAAAGGAAGGACACGGCTCCCACCTCTTCCATCACAGGAAGCAGCTCACAGGACCCCTCTGTGCATCTGCAACGACAAGTCTACAACAGTTTCTTGGCACTTGAGTGAATCTATCACTGGTGTAGAAGGTAAACGCACAGGGTAACTGAGCGAGATTCCACAGTATTAGACTCAACTGTTTGTTCACTAAGCAGTAGGTCACTTAGTTGGTCCTTTATCTACCTCTACCAAGTGGTTTATGAATACTTCATTATAAGTAAAATAGTCTTTCCTGACAATATTATTGCCATATACAACTAAAACTAAAACAGTCCTAAATCAGTAGTCTCTAAGATGTGAGCTTTGACCAACAAACAAGTATACTAAACTCTGCCCCTAATGTATGTAACAACTGTAAGCAATGTGGAAATGAAATTATGATTTATTAATTTACATAAAATTACTTTATACATTAAGGAATAATTTTTCAAATTCTTAAAAAACAAAGTTTGACGCTGTTATTATTGGGATTCGTGGGAAGTGGTTTGCTCTTCTATCACTTGCTTCACAATTTCTGCCAGTTTGAGTCGATCTACTTTGTCTGTGAATCCATGACCTGAAACCCAAGAAAGAACAAGGTCAGTTCTCACTGATTGAGCTGAGGGACTCTTGTTAGGAATCTAAGAGGTGTGCCCTACCATTCTTGAATTTACCCTCACAAATGAGTGGGCCAACCCCACTCAAAAGCAGTTTAACTAGGTGCTGGTGGCTCACGCCTGTAATCCTAACTACTTATGAGGGTGAGATTTGAGGGTCATGGTTCAAATCCAGCTCTGGCAGGAAAAGTCTATAAGAGTCTTATCTTCAAAAAAACCACCAGAAAACCAGAAGTGGAACTGTGGCTCAAAGTGGTAAAATGCTAGCCTTGAACAAAAGGAGCTCAGGGATAACACCTAGGCCCTGAGTTCAAGTCCTACAACCAACAAAAAACAAAAATAAACAAAAATAAAAACAGCTCCCATTTTTCAGCTAGTAATTGGGAAGTTCTATTATCCAGGAAATAAAAAAAAATTAAAAGCTCATTACAACCCCACAGAAGCAAAACAGAGAAAGAGAGAGATTGGGCTGGGAGAGTGGCTTAGAGGTAGAGTGCTTGCCTAGCATGCTTGAAGCCTTGGTTTCCATTCCTCAATACCACATAACAGAAAAGGCCAGGAGAGGCACTGTAGCTCAAGTGGCAGAGTGCTAGCCTTGAACAAAAGATCAGGGACAGTGCCCAGGCCCCAAGTTCAAGCCCCATGACTGGCAAAAAAAAAAAAAATTATGTAATATGGTGTGTCTGGCAAGGAACTCATATCCAGAATACATAAAGAAGCCCTTCACATATATAAGGAAGTTACAAGTCAGTAAAATGGCCAACAGTTTGAGTTCACACTTCACAAAAGAAGGAATCTAACTGGTCAATAAACATTTCAAAAGTGAACAGTCATTGGGTACTGGTAGCTCACACTTATAATCCTAGCTACTCAGAAGGCTGAAATCTGGGGATCACAGTTCAAAGCCAGCCCAAGCAGGAAAGTCTGTGCCACTTTTTTTTTTTTTTTTGTCAGTTGTGGCACTTGAATTCAGGGCCTGGGCACTGTTCCTGAGCTCCTCTTTCTCAAGGCTAATGTTCTATTTTGAGCCACAGCTCTACTTCTGTTTTCTGGAGATGAGTCTCACAAACTTTTCTGCCTGGGCTGGCTTTGAATCATGATCCTCATATCTCAGCCTTCTTAATAGTTAGGATTACATATGCGAGCCACCGGGACCTGACTCTTATCTCCACTTAACCTCCAGAAAACTGGAAGTGGAGATGTGGCTCAAGCAGTAGTGCGCTAGCCTTGAGTAAAAATGGCTCAGGGACAGCACCTAGGCTCTTAAGTTCAAACCTGCAGGAAAAAAAAGTTCACAGTCCCATCTGCTATCAGAATGATTCCAACTAAGCCCACACTACAACACCAAAACGCACTAACCAAAATGGCTAAAACAGAATCCCTGTATCCCTGTATGCCAGTGGCTCTAACCTGTAATCCTAGCTACTCAGCAAATGGATCTGAATATCACGTTTCAAAGCCAGCCCATGCAGGAAATTCTATAGGACTCTTCAAATTTCTTATGGCACATCTATAACAAGCTAGATAATGATGTATTTTAAAAAAAAATTGCTCCTCTTCCTGAGGAGGGGGGGAGGTCGGTTGTGGGGTTTGAACTCTGGGCCTGGGCGCTGTCCCTCAGCTCTTCAGCTCAAGGCTAGCGCTCTACCCCTTGAGCCACAGCACCACTTCCGGTTTTTTTTTTCCTGCTTATGTGGTGCTGAGGAATTGAACCCCGGGCCTCATGCATGCAAGGCAAGTGCTCTACCATTGAGCCACCTTCCCAGCCCTCCTGGAACTTTTTAAATGTAGTTTGCGTAACTACAATGACAACATAAAATCCAAATTAAAAGTGCCAATAATGTTTTAAGTAAGAAGAAATCTATCTCTTGTTTACTTGGGGGAAAAAATTCACTAGCAACTATTTGGTAAACCTTATACTCTTCAGTTTCAGGCTTCTCCTCTATGCTAAGTACATCATTAGTGTAAACTTTCTGCAGGGAATCCTTCTTTCCCTTTCACAATGTGTTGTTTAATGACCTGCTGAGCTGCCTATATGTAGAAGTTCAGAAATCGCCTTTTTTGCCTTGTGGTGGGTGATAGGGACCGTCTGGTGTTGAATGTGCAACCCTTAATTCTGGACTAGTGAAAAGACTGGATATTCAGATATACCGGAACAAATAAGAAAGGGCTAACCCTCTTCCCACAATAGTTCTTTCCCACCACAATCCACTCACCAGCCTTACTTCACCTAGAGTACCAGCACAGGCCCCAGACAGATCCTACATGTTCCACACAGAATTACTTGTCTGCATTTGAGGACCAATTAAGGTTCCTACCATTCCAGCTGAAGCTTTGCAGGGTGTCCCTTAGGAGTTTGCATTCCCGGTTATACTTCCAGGCCTCCTGCATTACTTCATTCAGCTTCTCATCTTCATTCTCTCCTATTGATAAGAATGAAGAGGAAGTTGCCACGTCAATACTATGTGTCAAAAATAGAAGGATATGATGTCCAACCAGTTGAGAAATGATGACTAAATGCGTAAAACTTTACCAGATGCTAACTTTACTGTGAATCCCTATGTTATATGCCACTGTTTCTAGCCATTGAGCTCTTCTACTTTACTATCTTTGCACAAATGCTTTAAGAGCCCCAAAGTCTAGTTCTGCTGCAGCAAAACTATCACTGAGCAAAAAACATGGGCAGCCTGAGACTAAGAAAGGGAGGAAGAACAGGCGTGTACTACTTTCTTTCGCCTAAGCTCATCCTTTGCTTATTAAAAAGGCTCTCAGGGTGAGGAAGGTGGCTCAGTGGTAGAGCGCTTGCCTTGCATGCCTGAGGCCCTGGGTTCGATTTCTCAGCATCACATAAGCAAAAAGAAAAAAGCCGGAAGTGGCGCTGTGGCTCAAGTGGTAGAGCGCTAGCCTTGAGCTGAAGAGCTGAGGGACAGCGCCCAGGCCCAGAGTTCAGGACCCATGACCGGACCCAAAAATAAAAAATAAAAAAAAGGCTGAGATGCATTATATGAGTTTTTTTAAGACACAGGAGTCTAGCAAGACAGGTCAACTCAACACTTCCTAGGCTGTTACATGAAACCATCATCAGCTGAGAATAATTGATCGCATCGCGAGCTTCTCTATGTGCAAGTAATTTTGTCTAAGCCAAGAAGCAAAAGGGCTAGTTCTGAACTAGGGAGATGTTCTCTTTATATTCACAAGCTAAAGATTTTTATTTATTTTTTTTTTTGGTCAGTTATAGTTCTTGAACTCTGGGCCTGGGCACTGTCCTTGAGCTTTTCAGCTCAAGCCAAGTGCTCTACCGCTTGAGCCACAGTGCCACATCCAGTTTTCTTGTAGTTAATTGGAGATAAGAGTCTCACAGACTTTCCTGCTCAGCCTGGCTTTGAACTGCAATCCTCAGATCTCAGCCTCCTGAGTAGCTAGGATTACAGGTATGAGCTACCAGTGGCCAGCTGACAGCAGTAATTTTTTTCCCCCCTTCTGGTCCTGGGCCTTGAACTCAGGGCCTGGACACTATTCTTGAGCCTCTCTATGCTCATGGATAGAGCTCTACCACTTGAGCTACAGCCCACTTCCAGCCTTTTTTGTTTATGTGGTATTGAGGAATTGAACCCAAGGCTTCATGCATTCTAGGCAAGCACTCTACCACTAAGGCACATTCCCAGTCCTGACAGCAGTGATTTTTAAAGGCTCTGGAAATGATGTTTACAGTTTGTAATTTAATCCTGAACCTGTCCGTATCTTCATTCTCTATCCTATACTTTTGTGCTTCCATTGTCAAGTAAACCAAAATAACATGCTATACCTGACATTGGCCATTAAGTCTATACTAGAATGTTACAGCAAAGAAAAGGAGGGAAGGACTTCACCACATTTCTAAATTTACAGTGTCTACTCTTTCAGTGTGTACAAGCTAATTTATATAATGCACTTCTTTTATTTATGATACAAAGAAAAAACAGCTAATGTATCAAATTAATCCACTCTTTTTCATGTGTATACACACATGTACGCATGCACACAGTCACATGTACACAGAGCATTAGTAAATGGCGTGACCTTTACCAGCCTGGGGGAGGATACATTGAGCAATCACATCTCGAAGCTTTTCCAAGGCAACATTTGAATCCTCAGTGCCATTCTCATGGTCATGGATATAAACACCATCCTTTGGCTTGGTGCTTTAAGAGTTTGGGGGAGAGGCAAAAACAGAGATACTTCAGAACCCAATTCTGGGTTATAAACTCTATACACAAGATAATAGATTTTTCAGATTAATTACTACAGAGTGTGTCCAGCTTTTGATGCCACTCAAAGAGCTTATGTTCTCCACCCACTTAAAGAGAAAGAAAAAAGGCAGACTCCTGACAGAGCTTTTAGCTTTTCATGTGGAGCCTCAAACATGGCAGCTGTGAAGGACTGAAGAAATAAGCTCAGTTACCCAAGTAACTTCCTTTTCCTTAGAATGGGGTTGTTCACTGAGTGCAGTGGTTTGAGGCTGACTTTCAGATCCTGGATTCTCATGTTGGCCAACTGCTCTGCATGAGCCTGCTGTATTCCAGCAACCACCGCCTAGATGTAAACACTGACATCAGTTATTCTTGTTTTTTATTTTAAGACAAGGTCTTGTTATATTGTCCAAATTAGTCTCAAACTTCTGGAGTGAAACAGCTCTCCTGCCCTGGCCTGCTGAGTGCTGAGACCAGAAGCATGTGCCAACCACTAGACCCAACTTTGACAGCCTTTTTTCACATTAATTGCTGGATACCTAAACAGCCACGTCTAGGAAAGTGGTAAGGAGAAGCCCCAAGTATTCAAATGGCAATTTCATTCTGGTACTGATGCTATACAAATTTTGATAAGGCAGAGGACTTTTCCCCTGAATTACTATGGCCCAGGCCAACCAAAAGCATCAGCTAGCCCTTTTTCCCTGACAGTGGGAACAGAAATTCAACTAAAAAATACATATATATTAACAGGCTCATGCTTAGTCACTGATAACAGCAATTTGACACCAAATGACAGACTATTTTGCAGGAATATGTCCAGATGTGTCCAGAAAAATACCAGGAAGGATACATGATACATCAAGCTCATAGAATACCTCATCTATAAGGAGAAAGACTGGCAGAAAAATGAAAGGGAATTCCTTCTTTTAACGCCTCTGTATTTGACAACTTGAAACAGAAGCTACTCTTCATCTAAGGACACCATGTATTCATAGCCAGTCCTGGCTGCATTCTTATATCCATCTCATGCGCAATGACCCAACCAAAACCATGGAAATAGCTTAAGATCCTGAGCTCAGGCTCATGAGTAAGACTCAGATGGTTTCTATTCCACATTTGTATACACGGTTGAACATCCCCGCCTTGAACACAGGATTTCTTTGAAATGGAGTAAAGTTTCAGTATCACCTTCAAGGCCTAAAGCCACTCTTATTTTTCAAAAAGTCTGTGTATTCAGACTTGAGTCATCGTGCAGTGATTTTTAAGTAATTCCAGAGGCAATGTTACCTCCTTATTTCCAATGTCTTGAAGAATGCCAAACTGTAACCGCCATGTGCCTGGCAACCAGGATCTAAGTAATTCTTTTGAGCTGACCAAACCATTTCTGGACAAGAGGATATACTTAAACCAAGAAGTCAACCACCTACAAATCAAAGAGATGACAGAGAATTTTGTTCCTCCAGCTCTCTTTTCTATGTTCCTACTAAACCTAACACTTTTTTCCCCAATTCATTTATTCTTTGTCAAATTTCAAACCCATCCCTTGCTCTTAGCCGATTTCTTATTCTACCCTACACAACCACTCATTTGAATGTCCCTCTGATCTCAAACAGTGTCTTAAGACTACACTTCCCCCAAATTAGCCTCCTTCCTCTGATTTCCCTCTGTTCATCAACGTTACCCTCACATAGGCCAGCCACCACCTCCTTAGATCTTTGGTCACCTAAAGCTAGAATTTTGTTTTTCTCCAGATGCAGACTGAGCCCATTCTCTCATCTGTATCTCTCTGAGTTAGCCTGCAGCTTTCAGACTGCTCCTGAAGCCACAGGTTGGCAGTTGTGCACGTCTAACTGACTATCGCCTAAATATATTCCCAGAGGTAAAATTGTTCTCAAAAGTGTGCCATAGCCTCTCAGTTCCATTCCCCTAGATTTAAACTCTTCTGGCAAAGTCTGGTCCTGCTGTACCCATCTCACTGACTTTCCATGAGTGAGGCCAGACTGACTTTCCCACTGAGACACTTTGATCTCTTAATTTTTTTGCCTTCCCAACCAGTCTTCTGTAAATGCCCTGGGCAAAGATAATCTTACATTGCTGTTTGTCCCACAAACCCATAGCAAAAATATGGATAATGTCCCTGAGTGTTCCTTTAGTGCATTATTTAGCAGGCTCGGATCCGGTCAGTTGGTAGGTCTTTGTCTCTGTCCTCTGTCATGCACACTCTCTCTTGCTTGGCTTTTTCTGCTCAAGACTGGCACTCTACCACTTGAGCTATACCTACACCTCTGGCTTTTTTATGGTTAACTGGAGATGAAAGTCACATGGACTTTTCTTTCCGGGCTGGCTTTGAACCTTGGTCCTCAGCTCTCAGTCTCCTAAGTAGCTAGGATTACAGGTGTGAGCCATCAGTGCCTGGCTTAATTTGGTCTTTTATGGAAAGTTCTTTATTTCAGATCCTGATTTTCAGAAAAACCAGAGATAATCTTTGAGTAAAGACAGCATGATCTCCATTGTTTTTCCCTTAACCCATCATTGAGTCAAGCCCCAACTTTCCTTCTCCACACAGCCTTTTCAGCCAACAAAACAATCATTCAAAACCTTATCCATCATCAGTTGAGCAGAGGGTAGCACATTATCCAGGGCTTCAGTTGAGTTGAGCCAGGGGTGGTCCAAAACTCCCTCGATGGTGAGTCTTTCCTCTGGTTTGACCTTTAGGAGCCTACAGAGAAAACACCAACAGGTCTGCCATGTACTGATGCCCTAAAAAGAAGCACAGGAAGTTCCTAGATCTGGCTTCAATTAGCTCACTTCAAAGTCAAACACAATCACATACTATCGACAGTATCCAAAATGTGAAAAGCCAAATGTGTCATGGTCATGTCAGCACCTTAGTTCAGTATCCTGACATCAGACCCCCTCATCAGCTGGCTTACGTGCAAGAAAAAGGCAAACCAGCAAGTATACCATTTAGGGCCCAAGTAACAGCCACAGAGAATGGTTACAGAGGTACCTGGGTTCACCACCCTGGGAAAGTCTAGGGATGCAATGGAGAAAAAAGTTTGGACTGAGGTATGGACATTGGGAGCTCTTACCTCAGACTCCTGACATCAAAATTGGCTGAAGCTACCAGGGAAACAAATGGCTTTTCCCTACCCAACATTAATCTTGATTCTACCACCTCAAGGCCTTCTCAGACCTCCCATTCAGCAGCCCAAGGACTCACTTCCTTACAACATCTTTGGCCATCTCTGAAATCTGGCTCCATTCTTCTTCTGGGAACTCAAAACTGCCTGTCATGATCTTTTTCCGCATATCCTTTGGGATGGTCCGGCTGTGGTGTTTAGAGTAAAAAGGAGGGTATCCACATAGCATCACATAGATAATGACTCCTAGGGACCATAAGTCACAGCTCTGAAAGGAAAAAAGAAAACAATAGCTCACAAGCAGAGACAGCTCCAAAGTAAGACCCAAAGGCAACCCTGACGTATAATACAAGGTGATACCTCCAAGAGTTATTTAACCGACATTAAAACTGTTTCAGAACATCTTAGGAAACCTAACTTCTCTTTTTTCATGCCAGTACTGGGGCTTGATCTCAGGGCCTCTTACTCTTACTTAGCATTTTTGCTCATGCTGGTGGTCTACCTCTTGAGCCATGTGTCCATTTCAGCTCTTTGCTGGCTAACTGGAGTTAAGAGGCTCAAGGACTATAATGTCTAGCTAAAAGAATTCTTTAAAATGACCAAATTCAAAGCCTTCACTTTACAGATAAGGAAACTGATACCACAGTCAATCAACACAGGTGAAGAATGGTGAGATCAAAGCAAATGTCCCAGTCTTTGTACTGTCCTCAGCCCAGTATCTAGTTTTCTAATATCCTGTCCTCTATTATCTATCCTCTAATATCCATATCTAGCCTCAAATCCACAAACAGCACCGTTTTTTTCATCTACTCAGCAATGCCAGGACCTGTTTTCAGAAACACTAAACTTCTTGAACATCAGGCTGATAAGTTGGGTCAGTGGTAGTGCTTGCCTCACATGCATGAGGCCCTGCGTTCAATTCCTCAGCACCACATAAGCAAAAAAAAGCCAGAAGTAGCACTGTGGCTTAAGTGGTAGAGCGCTAGCCTTGAGCTGAAGAGCTAAGGGACAACACCCAGGCCCAGAGTTCAGGCCCCATGACCAAAAAAAAAAAAAAAGCCACCAAACTTCTTGTTCATCAAAACAAAATTCTGTCAAGCAGAAAAGGTCAGCTAAGTTGATGTTAGTGGAATGAACCCCAAGGTAAGTATTCAAATGTTGTTGTTTTTTTTTCCTTTCATGCAATTGTTTCTATCATATTTATAAGATGATTTCTATGTTGCTTTGTGTGTCCCTCCCCCACAGTATAACCCATACTTTCACTGTATTTGATGTTGGTATAATTTGTGGAGGGGAAGGGAAAAAAAATCGTTTAACTAGGGATACAGGTGGACCCATTGCAACAATGAGTTGTACAAATCGTTATGTTGAAAACAAACTTAACAACTTTGGTGGGGGTGGGGGGAGGATTGGGGGAGGGGAGGGGAGGAGTATGGGAAGGAATGGGAAGGGGAAACAACGAGGAGGCAACAATGCTTGATAAGAAATGTACTCATTATCTTGCCCATGTAATTGTAACTCCTCTGTACAGTATTCTCACAATTAAAAAAAATGCTTCATTAGGTGGCCTACAAGTGAGGAAGTAATGAGTAATATTAGAAACACTTGTAATGTATACTAGACATTGTTCATAGAAGTGGTGCTGTGACTCAAGTGGTAGAGAGCTCGCCTTAAGCTGAAGAGCTGAGTGAGGGACAGTGCCCAGGCCCAGAGTTCAATCCCTACAGTTGACAAAAAAAGAATGAATGAATGATACCAAAACGATCACCAAAAAGCTAGTTCTCTAGCTTTGGTATATTAAAAATGTAACCCAACCTCATTCTCTTAACGTGATCAATGGCCTGTACATCCAGCCAAATAATCTGTGACCATCAGCCTTAATTTCACTGCAAAAGCTAAATGGGTAAGGAAAAAAGGCAGAATTGTAAATAATTTTTACAGCTGTCAGTAGCTTATACATGTAATCCTAACTACACAGGCAGTAAAATCTGTAAGGGTCTTCTTTTCAATTAACTACCAATAAACAACGGAGCTATGGCTCCATGAATACAGTGTCAGTTCTGATCAAAAAAGCTAAGGGACAGTGCCCAGGCCCTGAGTGCAAGCCACAGTAACAGCACAAAAATATTTATAAATAGTAAGCTAATTTTATTACGTCTGGCCACTTCCAATCTCATAAATAGCTCACAGGAACACAGAGGCTACATAGGCAGTGCAGGTATAAGTACCTCTTCCCTACCTTGTTGTAGGTGTAGGGTGTTGGCGAGGTAGGTATGATGCCAGACTTCTCCTTCTGATGCCTTCTCTGTGCTTCTAGTACCTGTCAGACCAAAAGGAATCTTACTGAAAACCACACCACCAAAGTCCTACAACTTGAGACTACTAGAAGTTAACTGCCAGTTAACAATAAAACAGGCTGGGAAGGTGGCTCAGTGGTAGAGCGCTTGCCTTGCATGCCTGAGGCCCTGGGTTAAATTCCTCAGCACCACATAAGCAAAAAGAAAAAAGCCGGAAGTGGCACTGTGGCTCAAGTGGTAGAGCACTAGCCTTGAGCTGAAGAGCTGAGGGACAGTGCCCAGGCCCAGAGGCCCCACGACCAGACCCCCCCCCCCCAAAAAAAAAAAAACAATAAAACAATCTTAACTTCACACCAGCATAGCACTTTTACAAACCAAAAGCAATAGTTAATCAGTCAAAAACACATCCAGGTAAAGCACGTAAGTCCTTTTTATCTTTATCCCTTAAATGTCTTGTTTCTACATATAAAAAAATCTGCAGTCAATGAATGACTCTAGGGATGACTCTGCCTGGGTAAAAGCAGACCCCCTGCAAGTTTTTTTTTTTTTTTGGGGGGGGGGGGAGGGGTCTGGTCGTGAGGCCTGAACTCTGGGCCTGGGCGCTGTACCTCAGCTCTTCAGCTCAAGGATAGCGCTCTAGGAAGTAGCGCTGTAGCTCAAGTAGTAGAGCGCTCGCCTTGAGCTGAAGAGCTGAGGGACAGCACCCAGGCCCAGAGTTCAAGCCCCACGACCGACAAAAAAAAAAAAAAAAAAATGGATAGCGCTCTACCACTTGAGCCACAGTGCCACTTCTGGCTTTTTTTTTTCTGCTTATGTGGTGCTGAGGAATCGAACCCAGGACCTCATGCACGCAAGGCAAGCGCTCTACCACTGAGCTACCTTCCCAGCCCCCCCCTGCAAGTTTTAGGAGAGAATTTTTGTTGTTGTTGTTGTTGGTTGTGGGACTTGAACTCAGGGTCTGGGCACTGTCCCTAAGCCTCTTTGTGCTTAAAGCTAACACTCCACCACTTGAGCCACAGCGCCATTTCCGGGTTTTTGAGTGGTTAATTGGAGATAAGAGTCTCATGGGGACTTTTCTGCCAGGGCTGGGTTCGAACCCCAATCCTCAGATCTCATGCTCCTGAGTAGCTAGGATTACAGGCATGAGCCACCAGCACCTGGCTCTTTTCCAGCTTTTAAAAGAAAGACTATCTGTGCCAAATGGAAGTAGTCAGTAGGTTTTTGGAGCTAAGCTGCCCACCTCCTGCCTCCCAGCTACGAAACATGCATACTTTTAGTACAAATTAGAAGGAACCTGAGACAGTAGGCACACTGCAGAGAAAAAATAGTACATGCTTACTTACCTGAGGTGCTACATAGTAAGGGGTGAACTGGGGTGTCATCAGGTCACCTTGGTCAACTTTAGCAAATCCAAAATCACACAACTTCACGGAAGCATCCTGACATGAAATAAACAGGAGTCATTGTTTCAGAATTCGCAGTAAACACTGAAAGAAAAATCTACATGCAGGTCATGTGACCCTGAGCTCTTACAAATTTCTGGCTAAGACTAAGCTATGAGTAACATCTTCCCAGTCTAGAGACATTAATTCACATTGAAAAATTGTTCTTTTATAGCATAGAAGAAAAGGGATTTCTACCTATCCATTTGGTTGGCCTTGATTTATAACTTGCAAAGGCAGTTCTAAAGTCCACGTCTTAGCCTTCTGGCCCTTACTCTGTGGAACCCTTCCTTGTTATTAATCCAGGGCTCTGCTTCACCCTGATCGTGACAGCTACGGCAACTTATTTGGTGGGATATGGAGTAAGGAGAGGGAATAAAGGGAGAAACATACCTTGTCAGGGCAAACAGTAACCGAAGCTAAAGTTTTAAAGTAATATTTAACAATGTATAGATTCCCAAAGGCCCTTCAAACAATATTTAAAATCCTAAATCCCACAAAAAAGTACTGGTGTCATCCAAAATTACTAGTGCCAAGGATATGGCAGAATTTCTGAGTCTCTAGTAAGGGAAGAAGTAGTACAAGAAACCCTTTTAATGCCTTGTCACCATGGATTTGGAGCAACACACACACACACACACACACACACACACACAGAGCTACTCCTAAACTGTGTTAAGAGTGGAATCATTAAACATGCAGAAAATTAAGTTTTCTCACCAAAGAGTTATCCTTGAAAAGCAGATTTTCAGGCTTGAGGTCTCTGTGTGCAATGTTTAACAAGTGACAGTGCTGTAGAGCCAATGCTATCTGAAAAAGGACACAGTGGGCAGCCACCTCTGAGAAAAGAACAATCCTGAATATCCTACCGGAGAAAACTTGGGACTTTAAAAAAGTAAGCCATCATTAAGTCAATTAAGACAGTGGTCAGCTTTAATTTAGCCTATAACCTAGATTTTGTTAAATAATAATTTAAAAAAACACAAACTATAACATTAAAATAACTGTCAAAAAAACTGATGATGGGCTGGGAAGGTGGCTCAGTGGCAGAGTGCTTGCCTTGCATGCATGAGGCCCTGGGTTCAGTTCCTCAGCACCACATAAGCAGAAAAAGCTGGAAGTGGCGCTGTGGCTCAAGTGGTAGAGCACTAGCCTTGAGCTGAAGAGCTGAGGGACAGCGCCCAGGCCAAGAGTTCAGGCCCCACATCCAGCACAAAAAAAAAAAAAAAAAAAAAAAAAAAAACGAATGACATACTGTAAGAAATAGAAAAAAATCACTTGCTCCCACTTTTACTTGCTTGAGGTGTGACAGGCACTGCAAAGGAAACTCTTAGCTGCAGTCTTCAGTGTGCATGGATTTCCCCAACTAGGCAGAAACAGGTCTACCTGGCTCAAAACACAACTGTTCTTGAGGGAGCTGGATGGCAGGCTCTTTCAAACCAGCTGATAGGGTTTTTCCAACTTATGTCATAATCACTTGTTGAAATATTGCCAGGCAGAGGTGGCTTACAACTATAGTCCTAGCTACTCAGGAGGCTGAGCAGTAAAGTTCATGAGATTCTTACCTCCAGTGAACCACCAAAAAGCCAGAAGTAGAGCTGTGGCTCAAGTTGTAGAGCATTAACCTTGAGCAAGGACAGTATCCAGGCCCTGAGTGCAAACCCCAGGACTGGCACGGACAACAAAATCCCTTTTTTATTTTTGTTGCCTGTGTGGATTTGAATGAATTTTTTATGTTTGTTTTACAGATCATTAGAGATCATTTTTAGTCCTAATATTTAAAAACTGAAAGATTTAAAGAAGTATAATGGAAAGAACAAATTCTAATGTTCTCCAACTCTCAATATGGAATTTTTTCAGCATTCCAAATATTACTTAGGAAGCAACCAAAAAATGTTTTAAAAGTGATCGTAGGAAATGTAGAAAGATTTTATTAAAATCTAAGTGGACTGTGCTTCTGGCTTCTCTCTGTCCTGCTTACTTGGTCTGAAGAAAGACCTTGAGCTTTTTATCTGGACAAGAGATGGGCACCAGTCAGATTCCTAGTATTGAATGTGACTTAAATAATCATTTCTACAACAATAAAAATGTAATGTCAAACAGAACTGGAAATAACCTGGAATTACAAAGATGTGAGAATCCTATTAAAATCGGCAGAAATGATAGTTGGCTTGTGCAAGAAGCATCCTATGTGCAAAGATGTTGGAACATATATTTGTTTGTACCATCCAGCTTTTCAGGTGCCGTCCACAGCATTTTATCTCAAAGTCCAATAGATAAAATGTTGTGGACGGCACCTGAAATATAATATCAACAGTTATTGAAGGAGGTAAGATTATCTTCCTTCAGTTTATTGTTTACAGTAGGCCTCAAGAAGCAGTTGACAACCAATTAATAATAGCCCTCCACCCCCCAAAAAAAGTATAAAAGGGGTCACATTTCTCCAGTTAAGACATCCTCTCTTATTACATAACAAAGCAGGCAATGAGAAGTCAAATAGAGCTTTTCTTAAGCTTTCTTTTATTCTCCCTAATGAAATTGCACTGGTTAACCAACATAGTTGGTAGTTTGATTGGTACCCGGGGTTCACTTGCCTGCTTTGTTACTTGGCTGGCTTGCTTCTCTGTAAAGTGCCGGTGCTGGCTGATTCTGTGAAATAGCTCGCCCCCTTCCATCATCTCCATTACAATTAAGAGTCGAGCCCTGTTTGAAAGCATTTGATTTGTTAAGTTAAAAAAAAAAAAAAAAAAAAAACTAAACATTAAAAAACTGACCTAAAGAGATCTCACCTATCAAGTCTGTAAGACAAGCCCAAGATAATACCAACTACTCAAACTACTAAATATAAGGAAAAATTCTCCCATTCTCAAAAAAAAAAAAATCCATGAATTTTGGTTACCATTCTTTGATATAAATGCTTCCAGCTTCCATCCAAATGCTTTCACCAACAGAGCATAGTTGTAAAAAATAACTTTAAATTTCTGTCATCTTCCTCCACCTGTAAAATACCTACTTTTCAGGTGCCAGACTTCACATGTCTCTGGGACATCACACCTCTCAGACACAAAAAGTGCCTCTCCGTGTAAGAATCAGAATAGTCAGAGATTGTACTCGTCCTACCAACACTGCCTGCAGGGTGATTTCATCTCCATCTCCAAATGAATGCACTTCAAATACCACCCATTGTGCCTGCCAAACAATTGACAGCTCAAAGAATAAAGTCAACTTTTTCCTTTTAGACTAACCAAGAGGGTATTGTGCTATATAGCAGCCTAAGACTCTGCCTACAATAACATTTGGCCCCTTTTCGATTATTTGAAATACAATCTGTTTATCTTCTATATTATCATTATTTTAAGACAGGATTTTCTGTGGTCGCCCAGGCTGGCCTCAAACTCTAGATATCCTTGCCTCCGCCTCTCAGGTGCTGGAATTATAGGAGTACACCAACTACTTCTAAAGTGTTTTGTTAGACTGGAAACTCCCTTTATCTATTTTTCTTTTTCCTTTTCCTTTCCTCTCTTCCTTCTATCCATTCGTTTTTTATTTTTTAGAGCTGGGGAATGAACCCAGGGCCTTGTGCATACTGGGCAAGCACTCTGCCACTAAGCAACATTCTCAGCCCTTAAATGTTTTATGTATTTTATTTTCTAAGAGAAAGCAATTATGCAGAGATTTTCCACAAAACAGTACCTACTAAAGCTGAGTAATAAGTACTCGGGGCTTCATTACAAAATTCGATCTGCTTTTATGTATGTTTAAATTTTCTCCAAAATACTAAGAGAAAGAGGAGGAAATGGATAGCAGGGGAGAGGGAGAGGGAAGGGAAGAGGGAGGGGAAGGAAAGAGTACATAAGTGAAAGGAACACTGCTACACTGTTGCCCGCACACAGGCATGTGAAGCTGCTGCTGCTGGTCTTACCTGGGGCTGGACTCATGTGGGAACTGTACACTGTTCGCAAACACTTCAACAACCTGAACAATGTTTGGGTGTGTGGCACACATCATGTGCAGACGTACCTTGAAGAGAAAAGAGGAGATGGTTCTGTGACAAGAGGATGACAATGTCTTCTCTCTACACTTCCCACTATCTCAGAACTGACCACACTAAGCCTAAGGGATAAGTCTACTTCAGCAGGTGCTGGTGGCTCACACCTGTAATCCTGGCTACCCACCAGGTGGAGATAGGAGGATTGTGGTTTGAAACCAGTCCAGGCAGAAAAGTTTCTTAGACTCTTATCTCCAATTAACTATTAAAATAAAAAAAGCCAGATGTGAAGCTGTGGCTCATGGGGTAGAGTGCCAAACTTATGAAAAAGCTAAGAGACAATACCCAGACCCTGAGTTCAAGCCCGAGTACCAGCACGTGTGTGTGTGTGTGTGTGTGTGTGTGGGTGCATGCACGCGCGTGCACACACATACACACACACACACACGCGTGCCCGCGTGCCCTCCTTCAGCATTCATTTGACCCTTCCTCAATCTATTTTATTTCCATCCTTTAAGCACCATGTTCAGTAAGCAAAAACTGAAGTAAAACTGGAATATATCAGAGTACAACAGATCACATTAATTTAAAAAGATGTGAGGGCTGGGAAGGTGGCTCAGTGGTAAAGTGCTTGCCTTGCATGCCTGAGGCCCTGGGTTCCATTCCTCAGCACCACATAAGCAAAAAGAAAAAAGCCGGAAGTGGCGCTGTGGCTCAAGTGGTAGAGCGCTAGCCTTGAGCTGAAGAGCTGAGGGACAGCGCCCAGGCCCAGAGTTCAGGCCCCACGACTGGACTCAAAAAAAAAAAGATGTGAGAGCTGGGAATGTGGCTCAGTGGTAGAGTGCTTGCCTAGCATGCATGAAGCCCTGGGTTCAATTCCTCAGTACCACATACACACAAAAAGCCAGAAATGGTGTTGTGGCTCACATGGTAGAGTGCTAGCCTTAAGCAAAAAGTAGCTCAGGGACAGAGCCCAAGCCCCAAGTTCAAGCCCCAGGACTGGCAAAAAGAAAGAAATTAAAAAGATGTGATGTGGCCAGAAGGAAACTAGACTACAGGCTAATAGTTTTCCATATTGAAAGGTAAGACTATTTTATAATGATAACATGAATAGGGAAGACAAAATTTTTCTCCTGCATCTCTTCTCTCCAGGAAGCAGCCATAATTATAAAAGAAATAATTCTTGCCAGGTACATGTGGCTCATGTCTGTCGTCCAAGCTACTTGGGGGCCAGATTGTGGGGATCATAGTTCGAGGCCAGCCAGGTTCACAAGACTCCTTCTTGAGGAAGAGCTATATGGAGAGGCATGTTCTCCTAATGTCCAGGAAGTCTAACGTAAGCGGATTGTGATGAAATGCTTGCCTGGGCAGAAAGCAAGACTATCTCAAAAATAATGTCCAAGTACCAAGGCTGGAGACATGGCTTGGCGGTGATTAGTAGGCACTAGTCAGGACTCTAGTTCAAATCCCAATACTGCCAAGGGAAAGCAGCCAATAAATAAATGAATTCTTAGGCTCCCTGAATATGCAAGTCAAGGCAGTAAAGGACCATACCTCATTTCTAGCTTTTGGACGATCAAGAAGAATTTTCAGTGCAAACCGTTCTTGGGTAGATTTCTTCACACAGACTCTAGATTTGGAAGGAGAGAAAGATCAGCAATAGTCTATGCACAGAAAATTTAATTTTCCAAGTCTGTTGTTTGGGAATTATACTTCTAATCAAGGACATATGTCCAGGTGAGCAAAATGAAGTTACCCAGGGCAGCAGGTGATGACAGAGAAAAGTATCTCACTTTACCCAGCGCCCTAGCTCAGGTCTCAGGTCCTGAGTGTGTAACACTAATTCACCAACATAAGCCAATAAAGAAGCAATGGCTCTTCTGCTTCAGGTAACTCTCAAAGTGGCCTCATAGTATCCATATCTTCTGCCATTCCTACTACAGACCATGTGACATGGTCACTTCAGCTATATTTCCAGATGCAGGAGAAACAGAAACTAACATGAAATCTACTTGGCGCTGAGGTTGTGGCTCTGTGGAAGGGTCTGTGCTTAATACCCACAGGGCCTAAGTTCAATTCCCAGCAGTTATCTATTATCACCTGGCACAGGTGATACTTGTTATTCAAGACATATTTCACAAACCCCTGCTCTGAACAATTTTACCACAATTCTTTCATGGGTCTCTTACCTAACTGGACCACTAATTCCAGCTCCCAGCTTCTGAGTCCAATTGATACTGTATTCTTCTAAAATGGAAGTTTCCTATTAAAATATAAAAGGGAGAAGGCAAATAATGACTCCTCTATTGAGAAGCTGCTCAGATTACAGGCTTCAGCCACTAAGCCTAACTAAAAGCAACTATTTTAAATAAGTTCAAAGAATAAAGGGAACTATGATGATGCTGAGACAAAACAGGACTTAATTTTTAGGTGGCCTCTCATCGTGCTGCTCTAGCTCATCAAACTGCTGGTCTCAAGTGCGTACCACCATCCCCAACAAATACAGGAGTTTCAACAGAGTAACAGATACCACAAAGAAGAATCACCTGGAAACCAACACTATTATAACTAATATGAAAAGTTTAGTAGAGAAGCCCAACAGATTCCAGGTAGCAAAAGAATCTGAACTAAAAAGAAAAGCTTGAGAGCCGGGCGCTGGTGGCTCACGCCTGTAATCCTAGCTACTCAGGAGGCTGAGATCTGAGGATCGCGGTTCAAAGCCAGCCTGGGCAGGAGAGACCGTGAGACTCCTATCTCCAATAAACCACCAGAAAACCAGAAGTGGCGCTGTAGCTCAAGTGGTAGAGCGCTCGCCTTGAGCTGAAGAGCTGAGGGACAGCGCCCAGGCCCAGATTCAAGCCCCACGACCGACAAAAAAAAAAAAAGAAAAGCTTGAGTTAAGCTGGGCACAAGTGGCTCACACCTGTAATCCTAGCATCTCAGGAGGCTGAGATCTGAGGACTGCAATTCAAACATAGCTTGGTCAGGAACATCTGTGAGACTCTTATCTCCAATTAACCACCAGACAACTGGAAGTAGTGCTGTGGCTCAAAGTGATAAGGTGCTAGCCTTGAGGAGAAAAGCTTAGGAACAGTGCCCAGGCCCTGAGTTCAAGCCCTACAACTGACCAAAAAAAAGCTTGAGCTAGGCACCAGCAGCAGTTTAAGAGATCTGAGGATGAGGTTCGAAGCCAGCCTCTTATCTCCAATTAACCAGCAAAAAACTGAAAGTGGAGGTATAGCTCATGTGGTAGAGCATCAGCCTTCAGCAGAAAAAGCTAAAGCAAAGTGCCTAGGCTCTGAATTCAAGCTCCAAAACCTGTATGAGACTCATACAATGCAAGCACATTCAGTCTATTGCTCCAATAAGCTCATCAAAGTCTAAGTAGGCAAAAACACATTAGTCAAATAATAAATAATAAACAATTAGTCAAAGACTGAAAGATAGGAAAAATATTTAAGCAGGAGAAAAACAGTGACAGCTCATATACAAAATATACAAGTATTATATACAAATATGTATAAAGTATACAGAATTATACAAAACATGTTGAACGTAAAATATACAAACATATACCAAACAAGTAATAGCTATTTTCATCAGAAACAAGGCTAAGAGATAGCAATCACACACTGAAAGGAAAAATTCAAGAATTCAATTGTATTGGATAAAAATATCCCTTAGAAATGACAGAGAAATAAAAGACATTAACAGATGAAATAATTGATTGCTAGAATACCTGCTCTACAAGAACTGAAGAAAGCACTTCTGAGAGCAGCAGCTCGGATGCACAAGAAGGGAGCAGATCAAGTAAACATAGAAGAAAAATCATGCATGCCTGCATTCATTCATTTCCTGAATTTTGAGACCAGGGCTTTCTAACTCAGGTTGGCCTCAAACTCATGATCCTTCTGGCTGAGCCTACCAAGTGCTGGGATTACTGGTAATGCGAGACATGCTCAGTTCTTCTCTTCTCTTACTTTAATAAACATAGATTGTTAAAAATGACAAGTCACTAAACTGAACTGTCAGCGTTAAATATAACAGATACACTTAGCAATAAGTACACAAAGGAGGAAGGAAAAACTAGAGCAATACTGGAGCAAAAGTTTATTTTATCAGATTTAAGTCAGTATTATCTCAAAGTAGACTAGTAATATTATATCCCCTAGAGAAAACTCCTCAAAGAGAACAGCTACAAAAACAACAGAAAACTTACCCAAGAGGGTTATTTTTTCCCTTTTTTTATTTTTAATTTCAATTTTAATTTTTTCTCCCAGTTCTGGGGCTTGACGTCAAGGTTTGGGAGCAGCCCCTCAAGGTTTGTGCTCTAACCCTTGAACCACACCTCCACTTCCCCCATCCTCAGATCTCGAGCCTCCTGAGTAGTGAGATGTACAGGCATGAGCCACTAGCACTGGGCAGGATATGCATTTTGGGGTACATGTTAGGTACCTTGGTAGTTAAGCAGTGGGCTGTGAGGATAGAAAACACTCTGCTTTTTGAGCTTTTTTTCGGGGGAAGGAGAGGGGGCAGTACTAGGGTATGAACTCAGGGTCTCAGGTTTGGCTGTACTCTGCCTCTCATGCAATATTCCAGGTCCTCCAGGTCCTTTTTTGCTTTATTTTTCAGATAAGGCTTTATTTACATATTTTTCTTTTGCCTGGGGCTCATCCTAAGGCCTCCCATATAGATAGGATCCTAGGTGCATACCACAATGCCTGGCTTTTTGGTTGAGATGCGGGGGTGAGGGGAGGGGGTAATCTCAGTTTTTCCCCAGTTGGTCTTGAACTGTAATCCTAATCTCCACTTCCGGAATAGCTGACCATAGGGATTATAGGCCTGAGTTCCCAGGCTCAGTTACTGTCCTGATTTCTTTTTTGGCAATACTAGGGTTTGACTTTAGGGTCTTTAAGCTCATTCTCCACTACCACTCTACCCCTTGAGCCAGGTCTCTTGGAGATGGAGTCTGTGAAAGCTTTTCTGACCAGCGTAGCTTTTTTTTTTTTTTTGGGGGGGGGGGGGTCCGGTCGTGGGGCCTGAACTCTGGGCCTGGGTGCTGTCCCTCAGCTCAAGGCTAGCACTGTACCACTTGAGACTCAGCGCCACTTCCGGCTTTTTTCTTTTTGCTTATGTGGTGCTGAGGAATTGAACCCAGGGCCTCAGGCATGCAAGGCAAGCGCTCTACCACTGAGCCACCTTCCTAGCCCTGACCAGCCTAGCTTTTAAATGTGATTCTCCAGATCATATTACAAGCATGAGTCACGATACCTTTTATATGTATATAGGTGTATGTATGTATGTATATATATATATATATATATATATATATATATATATATATATATATATATATATATATATATATATATATATATAGTGTGTGTGTGTGTGTGCAGTCATGCACACCAGTCCTGAGGCTTGAACTCAGAGTCTGAGCACTGTCCCTGAGTTTTTGTGCTAAAAGGTAGCACTCTACCGCTTGAGCCACAGCTCCACTTCTGGCTTTTTAATGGCTAATTGGAGATAAGTCTCAGACTTTCCTACCTGGGCTAGCTTTGAACCTTGATTCTCAGATCTCAACCTCCTTAGTAGCATTTAAGAGTCTAATCAGTGTTCTCTCAGATAGTAAGGCCACAGAACTTCACAGGCTGTGGTAAAAGCCCAGGACAACAGGTTTCTAGCTGAACTCTGCAGGTCTCAGGGCTATTTGATATCCACCTCAAAAAAGTGAAACAATAAACACAACACAATGAAATAGCTCAAAAAAGTTTTATTTGCTGTAATATTAATTTGCTTCCAAAGGGGGTATATCCTAGTTAGCACTGGTTGCCAAATCAGTTATTTTTAACTCCACCAGTTAGTCAGACAAGCCCAGATTAATAGGGAAATTCACTAGTGACCTATCAAATAATTTTAGTGCAGAAAAGCTTTTGAAAACTTCAGAAAATTAGGCTAGACAATAATCAACAACTGGTTAAAAAAATGTCTTCCTAAATCATGCTTATGCTGCTACAAGCTAATATTCATTGAGCTCTGTTATTTTGAGTATACCGTAGTACATTTTTCCATTTAAACCTCAAAAAAATCATATGAGCTGGGAAACAACTCGTTTCTTTGTATAGGAAACAAAGGACAGAGCAATGATGTGACTTAAACAAGAATCCAAAGCTAATAAATGGTGAGGCTTGGATTTTAATCATTAGTCTACCTAGAGAAACGAACACTAAAACCCAAACCAAGAGGGGGAAAATATATATCAAAGCAGTCTCTCAGAATCCTTATTTTTATTATTTAAAATTTGATCTATCTATGGTTTTTGTTTTTGTGATGCTAAGAATCACTTGAGGGGCTGGGAAGGTGGCTCAGTGGTAGAGTGCTTGCCTTGCATGCATGAGGCCCTGGGTTCGATTCCTCAGCACAACATATGCAGAAAAAGCTGAAAATGGCACTGTGGCTCTAGTGGTAGAATGCTAGCCTTGAGCTGAAGAGCTGAGGGACAGCGCCCAGACCCAGAGCTCAGGTCCCACAACCTACAAAAAAAAAAAAAAAAAGAAACTTGAGGCTCTGCACATGCTAGGCAAGCACTGTATCACTGAGCTACATGCCCACCCCCAAACCTCTGATTTCTTTTTTTTTTAAACCTCTGATTTTTGTATCTGGCTTTGTGCTGGGAAAACATCATCACCAAATGACTGTCCTTTGAGGGCTAGGAGAAATTAGGATAAAAGGGTTTAGGAATGTAGAAGCCCTAGCTAGATGGCTGTTTTTACCTGAATTTCGAATGGACTTTTCATAATACCCAGCTTGTTATTTTATGTTGGCTGCACTATATCCACAGTCCAATATATATGTTTAAAACTCCTTTAGAAGATGCAGCCTCACTGGGCACCAGTGGCTCATGCCTATAATCCTAGCTAATCAGGAGGCTGAGATCTGAGGATGGCGGTTCAAAGCCAGCCTGGGCAGGAAAGTCTGTGAAACTCTTATCTCCAAAATAAAAAAAAACACAAAAAACCTTTAGTGGCGCTGTAGCTCAAATGGTAGAGCGCTCACCTTGAGCGGAAGAGCTGAGGGACAGCGCCCAGGCCAGAGTTCAAGCCCCACAACCGACAAAAAAAAGGAGGGCTGGGAAGGTGGCTCAGTGGTAGAGCGCTTGCCTTGCATGCCTGAGGCCCTGGGTTCGATTCCTCAGCACCACATAAGAAAAAAGAAAAAATCCAGAAGTGGTGCTGTGGCTCAAGCAGTAGAGCGCTAGCCTTGAGCTGAAGAGCTGAGGGACAGCGCCCAGGCCCAGAGTTCAGGCCCCACGACCGGACCCAAAAAAAAAAAAAAGAAGAAGAAGAAGAAGATGCAGCCTCACCAAGCATGTGAAACATGGTGTTATACCTTAATCCCAGCATTCAAGGCAGAAGCAGGAGGATCCCAAGTGCTGACTAGCCTGGACTACATAGCAAGTTCAAGGCCACCATGGACATTGCCAGATCCAGTCTCAAAAATAAAGAGGAAGATTGTATAGCACAGTGCTTGCACACTTGCCTACCATGCTCAAGATCCTAGATTCACTCCCTAGCACCACAAAAGGTAAAAAATAAAGTTACTTTTTTCTTTGGAATCACTGAAGATTTTGATAAACTATATACTGTACTATATAGCAATAGAGACTGTATACTAAAATAGCTAGAAGAGAAAAATAACCCCAAGCTGCCAATAGTTGTATGTCCCTCAAGGGAAAATGAAATTCTAAATGCACTAGGTTAACAGATGTAAAACATTAACTTTAGCTTTACATGAACCCTAATTTCCTAACTATAAGACACACAACTCATAAAATCTGTCCATTGATGTGTGGAAGTATCACAATGAACTCAACACTCATACAGTTAATTATGTTAATAAAAAAATAACTAGGTGCCAGGTGCTCAAACCGGTAATCCTAGATGTTTAGGAGGCTGAGACACGGAGATCATTATGAAGCCAACCTGGACAAAAAGTCCCTGAGACTTGTCTCCAAATAACCACCAAAAAAGCCGGAAGTGGAACTGTGGCTCAAGTGGGAGACCTAGTACTAGCCTTGAAAAGCTCAGGAACACCAGCCTGGCCCTGATTTCAAGTCCCCATACTGGCACGCTGCGCACAACACACACACACGTTTCAGAAAATTTATTGTTTTATTTGAGTAATTTCAGAACATGTTTGCTTTTCTTTTGTAAAACAACAGAAAGAAACCGAGCACTGTTAAGTCTTTTTAAATACAAAGAAACGTGTACGTACATACATACACACACACACACACACACACACACACGCCTCTCAGTGATTTTTCTCCCCCTCCCCCGCCCCAAGAGGGAAGAGAAAACACGTTAAAGAGCAATCTATTCCCCTAAGGGCAGGTTTTTACAGGAAGACGAACCACCTTCTTGTCACACTGCAGTCTTCGAGGAGGTGATTTCAAACACATCAAGAGGAATGGATGAAAGCCACTCCGCAAACGTAGCTGCAGCCGACCACACGGAAGCAAATCGCTAGGTGGAGGCACTTGGGGGCGAAGGAAACGAAAAGGGGTAGCAGGCCCCTCCCTCCCACTGAGACCCGACAACCCACCCCCCCCCCCCACACACACACTCACACACACTCCCTCCCTCCCTTCGCCCCGGGGCTGTCAAACTCGGCCCGAGGAATCGGGGGCGGGGGGGGGTGGGGAGGCCGAAACCCCGGGATAGTCGAAGCCTTTCGCCCCGAACACTCTCGGTTTTCTGGGGCTAAAGACGAGAAAACAGCGCGGAGGCTCGGCATCTTCCCTTTACCTTGATAGCTTTCTCCATGTCGCTCTCCTCCGACATGCTCCGCCGGGTCCCCACAGCCAAGAGCGGTGCAATCTGCGCGGCTGCCCGGTGCCCTGGCAGCCGAGGGGGCAGAGAGCTCGGGGCTCGGGGAGACGGGCAGCAGCCGCCCCCGGGGGCCGGCAGAGACGAAGTCCCCGGCGCCGGCGCCGCTTCGGCGGGCGGCTCTAAGCCACCGGCGGCGGCGGCCCCTGGGGACGAGCCTTTGTGCTGGGCCCCGCGCGGCCGCCTCCAGGCCTCATCCCCGGCCGGGGAGACTGGCTCCCGGGGCAGGGCTAGGCCAGGAGGGCCCCGGCCCGGGGCGCCGTGCGCGGGCCTCGCAGGGCCGCCGCTTAGGCCTGGACTCGCCAGTTCCCGGAGAACCTGTGCCGCCGCCGCCGCCGCCGCCGGCACCGACGCGAAGCCGAGCCCGCTGCCGCCGGTGCTGCTGCCTGTCCCGCCGCCGCTTCAGCGCCACACATCGCCGGGACACCCGCGCCGGGCAGCCCCGCCGGCCGCCGCCCGCGCTGTGCCCCGCTGGCACGCCGGGACACCCCCTCCCGCCGCCCGGTTCCGCGGCCCCAAGCTCCACGCGCCCCTCGCCGCCGACTGCTGGGGTTTCAGAGACGCTCGGGAGCCCCTCGGCTGATAGGCAGGCGTCTGCACAAGCCTGCCCGGACCACGCCGCCAGCAAGACAGGCCCCCGGGCCCTTGGTCCAGTTGGCGCCTCAGGATGGCGTAAGGAGCTGCCGACTGGGTCGGGCCAATGAAAATCGCCGCTGGCCGGCACATGCTCTGCGCGCGCGCGCTGAACGCAACCTCGTGCCGCCACCCGGTAGAAGACCCGGCGGAAGGCAGCCGTGCGCAGCACGGAGTGCCGAGGGCCGCCCGGCTGTCGGTGAGGCAGAGTTGAATGGGCACCGGGACTTGGCCTGCCCAGAGGAAACGGAACAGTGTTTGCCAGCTCTTCCAGAGCCTTTATCCACCATTGCTTCCTCCCATCTTTATAAGGTAGGCTTTTCACTGAGGTAAATTTGTTCTCATTCCCGACTTGCAAAGTTTGGTAAACTGAGGCACAGATGCTCAGCTGAGAGTGGTCAAGAAAGAGAGCCCCTTGGGCTGGGAAGGTGGCTCAGTGGTGGCGTGCTTGCCTCGCATGCATGAGGCCCTGGGTTCCATTCCTCCGCACCGCATAAACAGATAGAGCCGAAAATGGCGCTGTGGCTCAAGTGGTAGAGTGCTAGCCTTGAGTAAAACGCAGCTCAGGCTCTGAGTTCAAGCCCCGGGACTGTCCAAAAAAAAAAAGCACTGCTTTGTGATATTTTTTTTGGTCCGGTCGTGGGGCCTGAACTCTGGGCCTGGGCGCTGTCCCTCAGCTCTTCAGCTCAAGGCTAGCGCTCTACCACTTGAGCTACAGCGCCACTTACGGCTTTTTTTTTTTTTTTTTTGCTTATGTGGTGCTGAGGAATCGAACCCAGGGCCTCAGCCATGCAAGACAAGCGCTCTACCACTGAGCCACCTTCCCAGCCCAGCTTTGTGATTTTTTTTATGTGGCACAGCAAATGAGCAATGGGGAAATGCTGAGACCCAGATGACAGGGTCTTTGACAGAGAATATCGTAATTAAGCCTTTTAACTTAAATGTGACTATACTGTCTGGCCCACCAGGGTCATGGGTTTTTTTGGGGACATACATACACGCACACACATGCACACGCATGCAGGAGATTAATGACTGGCTTCATTCCAGCCTAAAGCAGGTCCACATTTTCTTGCAACTATAAATCTTTAACTTGGGCTAGGAAGGTGGCTCAGTGGTGGAGTGCTTGCCTTGCATGCATGAGGTCCTGGGTTCGATTCCTCAGCACCACATAAGCAGAAAATGTCGAAAGAGGCGCTGTAGCTCAAGTGGTAGAGTGCTAGCCTTGAGCTGAAGAGCTGAGGGACAGCGCCCAGGCCCAGAGTTCAGGCCCCACAACTAGCAAAAAAAAAAAACTTCAATAAATGTCTCATACCTTGAGAATGTAACTGGTCTGGCTCTGGGGATGTACTTACACCTCAATAAAAACCTGTGCGTGAGTAAAAATTCTTGTCAGTCTCACCCAGGAGTTGAATTGACTGGCTTTCAGTCTCTGGAAAGGAGGTGAAATCCTTTCCTAATGAACATTGCTGTCACATTTCACATCCTGTCTGAATTCTTGTCTCACTGGGCACAAGGAATGAGGATAAGAGTATTGTGCTGACTGTGGTAATATTTAAACCAAAACCTAGCCAAGTATCTTGCTGGAATTAATGCTAGGAACAAGACATATAGTACCTGCTCATAGATCTTTCAGAAAATAAGGAAGAAGCGCAGAGTGTAATGTTAGGAAGAATCAGTCAATAGAATGATGAGGTAAGAAGAAAGGCTTGGGTACTGTCCCTGTGCTCTTCAGCTCAAGGTGTACGCACTACCGCTTGAGCCGTAGCACCACTTCCAGTTTTCTAATGGTTTATTGGAAATGAGATCCTGGGGGGAGGGGGGGGAGGAGGGAGAGATGGGAAAGGATGGGAAGGGGAAACAAAGGAGGAGGCAACAATGCTTGATAAGAAATGTACTCATTATCTTGCCCATGTAATTGTAACCCCTCTATGGTATTTTCACAATTTAAAAAAAAAAAAAAGATTCTCATGGACTTTCCCGCCCAGGCTGCCTTTGAACCAAGATCCTCAGCCTCCTGAGTAGCTAGGATTACAGGTGTGAGCCACCGGCACCCAGCTCCCTACACCATAATTCTGACTACCCCTACTGCTGTTAAGGTGGATTGCCTGAAGACTGGATCCAAGCCTCCCACATCAAAGCAGCTAACCTGACCAAGGAGGACAAATGGAAGGTGGTGCAATCCTGCGACAATTCACTGAAATGGATGTTTGTAAAAAATTTAGATTAGTAATGATCTTATGGCTTGGATGCAGAGTGGTAGGGGCAAAGATGCACCCTATCAGACTGAAAGACTCTTGTGGAAATTGTACAGAGCAGCGGATGGGGAAAGTATACAGGAAAAAGAATGGTATACCCTACGGACTGTTCAGTTTAATCTCTCTCTATGTCAGTTAGCTCCAATAAACCCTTGGATGCCATCCAGTTTTATATGTGTCCCTGAAGGACAAATCATTGTGAAAAGCCTGGACAGTTTTTTTTGTGCCCAATGGGGATGTGAGACTATTGCATTGGCATGGGGGACCAACATAGACCCAGACATTGAGGTAGGATATATAACAACAGATGGATGTAGTCCCTGGCTTGATTGGACCCGCTTGGTTTCCAGACCATGCACAAAAATATATATATAAGTTAAAAACCCGTCAGACCAAAAATGGCAGTTGGGGTGTACCTGGGGAATTAGATACTATAAGTCAGGACCAGATAGAGGAGCAAAATTCTCTATGAGTTATACCATCAGAGACCCCCCACGCCCTATTGGACCCAACCAGATTCTGAGCCCAAGCCCAAACCATAAGCTCAAATCTACTCATGCCCCCAGGACAAACAGTCCTTCCACCCTGCGTCTTCTAACTCAAGAGCCTCACTCAAGAAGAGAGGGGGAGGATGCCACTCACCCTGGATGGGCTCTTGTAACTCCGTCTTCACAGTACTAAATTCCACTGACCCAATACACTCCTCTCAGTATGGAAGAAACTGAGTCAAGGATTTGACTAAGCTAAAGGAAAAGGGAGGAGTGTTAAGGAGAGCAAAAACTGACTCCATCTTCAACGCACTAAGAGCTCTCCTGCCCCTGAAAATCAAAATACCGGTTTCTCACAAGCACCTCAGGGTCAGGAAACATGCTGTATCTGTTGAGACCCCAGGAAATGTCAAAACTGGAAAGTCCCTCTGCTTGCTGTGATAAGATTGTGTAATCTTTTTTTTGGGGGGGGGGTCCAGTTGTGGGGCCTGAACTCTGGGCCTGGGCGCTGTCCCTCAGCTCTTCAGCTCAAGGCTGGTGCTCTACCACTTGAGCCACAGCGCCACTTCCAGCTTTTTTTTTTCTTTTTCTGCTTATGTGGTGCTGAGGAATCGAACCCAGGGCCTCAGGCATGCAAGGCAAGTGCTCTACCACTGAGCCACCTTCCCAGCCCCAAGATTGTGTAATCTTGACGACCCACCTTGTGAATTGTTGGAGATTAACAATAGTAAAACAGCCCAACCAGGCCCTGCAGCCCTATTTGTTTCTGGAAAGGATTTGCAGATGGGCAGACTTACTGGAAAAACCCTGCCTTTTGCCTGCCAAAAAGTAAACCCAGCCTTTTGCTCACCAAATTTGCTTGCCAATTCAAACCAATATGATAGGTTAGTTCAAACAGTTACCGTGAGGCAGACTCTCACTCCAGTTTCATTTGACTACCTGCGTGTGGACCTGACATGACTATACAGTCTTTGTGTGTTACAATCCCATTGGCCACCTGCGTTTGGCCAGGCATGTTCACATGGTTTTTGCCCTTAAAAACCCCAGCTTGTGGACTGGTTGGGGTCGCAGGCACAGCTCCCGAGTCTGTGCTGTGTCCCTGGCCAGTCAGCTATCCGCTTCCCCACTAAATTCATCTTTTTGCATGAGACTACCTGCATGGTGGACTCTAGTGAGACATGGAATCCCCTCCCCCAGACCCCAGTCTCCCAAGAGGTCACCTTTTTTATGTGCTGGTAACAGAGCTTCAGTAGAAGGAATAGGAGAATGGCAAGGTGAGGCTGGAGAGATAAGCAGGAGCTGCATCATAAATACCTCAGTGATCTTATTAGTACTTTACATTTTATTTTTAACCACTGGAGAGTTTTAAACTGAAGGGTAATAGATTAAGATTTTGTTTTGAAATATCACTGAACTGCCTAGAGAATGGGATATACGCAAGCAAGAATACTATTAGGGCACTGTTGGAGATTGCAGAGAAGTTTGAACTAAAGCAGTGACAGTAAAGATGGAGAAAGAGGACAGATATAAGGTATGTTTCGAAGTAGCATTGATAAGTCTTCCTGAAGCATTAGATATGGGAGGGAAGATGAGAGATGAGTTGTGGATAACTTCTATATGTTTGGCTAAAAGCAAAAGGATGGATGATGAGCATGCCTGCTTTCTGTGAATAAAAGACTTGATCAGGGTGAGGGTGAGCAATCCAGAGTTGTTGTTTTTTTTTTTCCTTGTCAGTTGTTGGGCTTAAACTCTGGGCCAGGGCACTGTCCTTCAGCTCTTCAGCTCAAGATGAGTGCTCTACTGCTTGAGCCACAGGACCACTTCTGGTTTTCTAGTGGTTTATTAGAGATAAGAGTCTCATGGACTTTCCGGCCCAGGCTGGCTTTGAATTGCCATCCTCAGATCTCAGTCTCATGATGAGTAGCTAGGATTAAACAGGCATGAGCCACCGGCACCTGGCCAGAGTTCTTTACTCCCTGTTAATTTGAGCTTCTTCTGGCATTATCCAGAGGATAAATCAAATAAGTAATCGAATGTTATGGTGGAGACTTAGTTCTCCACCAGAATCGTCTATACACTTGTAGTGTGTTCCTTGGGCTTATACTTAGGCTATTGCTAATGGAATGTAAATGGAAGAAAGTGTGCAGTGCCTAGGCCTGGCCTGTACCAGCCTTCAACAGGTGCTCCTTCATG